TTCCTGAAACATGTGTGCCCATGATCTGGGGCTGGCTGGAGCTGGGGGTGGATGGTAGCATGAGTGTCCTGGTAGGGATACCACTCTCTGTCTCTCTCTCTCTCTCCGTGTCTCTCTCTCTCTTCATCTCTTTGGCTCATGGAAGAAATAAAGAAATATAAAGTGGAAATAAACCTCTTTTGGCTATTCTATAGGAAAATAGTTTAAATTAAAGACTGATTTTCAGGCACCAATAGTTGAAAACCGATTTTCAGGGACCAACAGTTGGCTATGTCGCTGGACTCCCTGTAGTCTACTGTTGTTTGAGTCCTGGACCCAGTGGCTTAAACTCATGTCAGGTGCGCGTGTGTGCATGTCAAAGATCCTGAGAGGAGACTGGAGGAGAAGGGATCGCGGCGTGGCCATCCCCCCTGGGGGTGATTTCTTGCTTTCTGTCTCTCTGTCTCTGTCTTTCTGGCGAGGGCACACACCCAATAGCAAAAAAAACCTCTCTCCCTACCAAAAAAAAGACTGATTTTCAGTTTTAGTGGTATTATAATACATTAGTATGGAATATTTCCAGACAGCTTATTGCATCTGCATATGGAGGGCTGACTTAAATGTTTGATGGCGTGTGAAGAGAAACTGAACAAAGAGGAAAGCCACATTATCAGATGATGAATTCAATAGTTTCTTGGGACTGCTTTTGTCTGTTGTTCACAGCCAGGATCCCTGGTCTTAAGCCCTGGGAATGATCTTCTCTGTTCTCTCTGCCTTGTCCTAAATAGTTTTGGATACGTTTCAAAGATACACTGGGTCGAGTTACTTGCTTGCAACTCCTGCCTTCTCTTTAATGTGTAGGGATAATAGACTATGCAGGAAGAGCTGCCAGAAATTGGGACATATTTTCTTAAATATGTATCGTATGACTTCTCTATTTTTCAGATGAAAAATAATACCACAGAAACAATTAATAAAATACATCCATAATATTATTGATATATTTTATGGATGTAGAAACCATGCCCCTTAAGGAGAAAATAGGTAGATGATGAAGAAGGAAGGAGAACTGAATCCTGATAAGGGTTGGGGGGAGGTGGAGGACTCAGAACGAACTTGAGTTTGGCAAATAGAATAAAAGGACAAGGCAACAAGTACCTTACACACATGCACATACACCTACACACTTATATGCACACACCCACATAAACACACAATACATAAACATGCATGGAAACACATCTACACATTAATATGCACATAAACACACACAAACACACGCATCCATAATTACATACTCATAAACATACTCTACAGACTTTACTTCCCCTCTCTGGTAGACAGCAACGTTTCAGAAATTCTTTTATATAATCTTAGCAAACTATTTTAAAAATAAGAAACTTTTGAGTCTATCATGTTCTCTGTGTCCTAAAGAGACAGCTGCTTTAAATCCTTAACTTTAATAAGGTATTGCAAGTTTGTCCTAAATAAGAATCTTCTAAATCTTCTAGCATGTATCAAGAAAGGAAGAGATGGGACCAGCAGTTAGCATAATGGCTATGTCGCTGGACTCCCACGTAGTTGACCGCGGTTCACGTCCTGGACTCTGTGGCTTAAATTCACGCCGGGCACGTGTGCGTGTGTGCCCAAAATCCCAAGAGGAGAATGGAGGAGAAGGGATTGTGGCATGGCCATCTCCCCTGGGGGGTGATTTCTCACTTTCTGTCTCTCTGTCTCTCTCTGTCTGTCTGGCGAGCGTACGTGCCCTATAGCAAAAACCTCTCCAAAAAAAAAGAAAAACAAACAAGAAAGGAAGAGATGTATCATTTTGCCAATTTGACTGATAAAGGTACCAATCCAGGTGACACAGTATCAGTGTGAATCTTTCTTTCCTTTTTTTTTTTTTTTTCAGAGATATTTTTGCTATAGGGTGCATGCGCTCACCCGAGAGACAGCGAGACAGACAGAAAGTGAGAAATTGCCCCCCAGGAGGGATGGCCATGCTGCAATCATGTCTCCCATGCCG